GAGACGGTGCACTCACTACAGGCAGGAGAAGGTGCACTCACTACGGACAGGAGACGGTGCACTCACTACAGACAGGAGACGGTGCACTCACTACAGACAGGAGACGGTGCACTCACTACAGACAGGAGACGGTGCAGGGTGCACTCACCACAGACAAGACAGTTCTAGAAGCGTCCAGCCACCAGCCTCCTAATTCCGCGGTAGGTAGCCGGCCTGAGTTCTTGGTGGTGAATCTCTGTCTGTCTGTCTGTCTGTCTGTCTGTCTGTCTGTCTGTCTGTCTGTCTGTCTGTCTGTCTGTCTGTCTCAATAATACTATTTATCATCACAATTTATGTCCTGCTTGTCGCGTGCATGCGTGAGTGAGTGCAAACGAACTTTGGTACACCACTGCCGTTGTAAACGACCGAGACAAATTTCTCCCAGTGAGATAAATAAAGAGTGTCATTGCCGTTAACGTCATTTGTCTCTTTTCTCTCCAGAATTTCAGACTGTCAGTTCTTCAACAACAGACCAGTTTTCCACAAGGCCAACCATCATCTGGACGTGGCTATGGCGAGTTTCTCACAAGAAGCCAGTCGCCGTGTCTGGCTCCTTCTTCTCCTGGTGTCTGCCTGTCACGCCGGATGTAGGAGAGACAACTGGGGGCTCAGTTTTGACAACAGGGACGGCTTGTCCAGATGTTCCGGGAGCAACGAGTACATCAGAGGTTTCTACAGGAATGTCCGACAGATCCCAGACCTCCTTTACTCACTAGAAGAGGCGGTGTGCTGTACCTCACCCAGCCCCTACACTTGGGATAAGACAATGATCTACCAGGCCAACTGGTGGGCCAGTTTTGACAGACCAAACACCTGGAACGTCTGTCCGCCCGGCTTCTTTCTACAAGGCATGCAGCGGACAAAGGGGAGCCAGAGACTGGGGACCATAGAGGAAGGCCGATGTATGAAGCCCGCCTCTCACCCTTACCATTACGGACACTGCTATGACCAGAACATTTTGGCCTCCTTTGACAATGAAGGAGTTAGCCAGTGCAAAGACGACTACTTCGTTACGGGGCTCTTTCGCTCACAGTGCGACGAGTTGTATTGCCTTGAGTACTTAAAGTGTTGCAAAATGGCCCCTCGGCCAGATGCCATCGACTCTCTAGAGAAAGCCAAGACCAAAGTGATGGACAACACGTTGACGGATATGGCTGTGCTCGCTCATTATCTGGGTTTCGCTCACACCTACAGTTGTCGCGTGCCTTTTATCGGGGAGGACTTCCGCCGAGATGGAGACACGTGGCGAGCGGCCAAGAGGGGTCCGTGCACAGAACACAACAACCAACATCGCCTCAGCATCAACTACGCCGACTGGAAGTTCTCCATCAAGAGCATCTCTTTCGGCAGTCCTGTCATACAAGACCTTCAGCCTGAGACCATAGACTCTGGAATCGTGAGAAACAGATTTGCCTTCCCGGTGTCGCATACCATATCACGCAGCAGTCACGTGACACGCACTGTCTCCCACACAGTGACCTCCTCTTGGAGACGTGCCCATGACCTTGGCCTTAGTATCGGGTACACTCCGGGTGTGTTGGGTGGCCTCAGTGGAAGCGCCAGCTACAACTTTCATTACGAGACCTCCTCCTCTACAACAGACTCCACCGGCAAGGAACAATCTCAATCTTTCACCGTCTCTGAGTCCGTGGATATCCCGGCAAACCACGCCGTGAACTACACGTTCATTCTCTCCAAGACTCGCACAACTGTCCCCTACACCGCCAAAGTCCTCATCCACTTTTCCACAGAGTTTGAGAGCTTCCTCAAGTACGGGGGAGGCTTCCACAAGCAGGACACCAACTACCACTACGAGCACCGAGGCAGCAGGGACACGCCCACTTTCCGCTACCGCTTTGGCGGAGACAGACTGGCCTTCTACGAAGCTCTGAAACACCAGAGCGACTCCCTGGCTCGCCCCTGGATGTGGGCGGACATGAAGGCCAACTGGCCTGGTGCTCAAGCCTTGATCAACGGCCTGGCCAGTGAAGGGCGCTACGAGTTCACGCTCACCGGAAAGTTTGATGACGTCAGCGGCAGAGATCTGAGGGTGGACTGGAGAGAGATTTCTCCTGACCCCGCTACATCCGGGGGATTACGGAATCGGAGGTCAGCGGGTCATGGAGGTCATGGAGGTCACATCGCCGGTGCAAGAACCACAACCCCGGACGTCTCAGAAATAGCACCAGCAACAACAGCAGCAACAGCGGCAACAGCGGCAACAGCAGCACAAGATGTGGACAGCGCCACCATAGATATGGTAGCTCGTGAGCGGCCCGGGGACCCACCCAGCGTGTATCCGCCTCCTCCTCGCGTGGGGCTAGACCCCGTGTCCCAAGAACATCAGCCCACAAGTGTACCTATAAATCACGAGGCTTAATACAATACACTCAAGTGTACCTGTAAATCACGATTATGTACTCTATATACAATATATATATATGTGTGTGTGTGTGTATAT